ATTGTAGAGAATGGTTCAAACACATAATCTCTTCTTCTTTGAATATGATTTTTTGATCCATATTTAGCTTGTATTTTGGTAGATGTGCTTCTAGCATAGGACTTTCAGGCGTTTGAGCTAGTGCCTCTCAAAGTTGGCCTGATCATATCAATGCCCTGCTTGATCAGACTGTCGGGTTGGAGGACGACCTTCCTCTGTAAGATATCGTTCGAGGTGGCCACGCTTGAGCAGTTCCTCCTCGGGTGTTAAACTACTCAAGGAGGATGATCTCTTGCTTTGAGCATTGAGGTCAAAGTAGTCTTTGGCCATGGTCTTAATTGAACTAATAAGATTTCATTTTATCTCTTGGGTAATTTAAGACCTCATTGATTGAGGATCTCGGAGTAATCCTTTCTCCATGATAACACCTCAGATTGAGAGGTGTTGAGATTATAATCTCTCCTTAGGTATATTCGATCCTTTCGAGAGGACCCTTCCCTCTAAGTTTTATCAGTTTAGGACTGAGAGGGTCGATTCTCCTTGTGTTGCTTTTTGCCTTTCGCCTTTCTTTTCTTTGACATTAAGGGATTCAATGGTGATATGGTTCACCCCCTACAATAGTTTCAGATAGGTGGTCGATGGCCCTATGGTGACTAACCAAAAAAAGTTGGAGAGGTAAAGGTTCTTGATGAATGCTTGAATAAGGACCAAAGGGTTGGGGTAGGACACTATCCTGCCTTGTATTGATGTCGACCTTGCTAAGGTAGCAAGATAAGAACTCATCTTCGTCTTGGCAAATTGCTAGTAAAGAGGTTGTTGTCCTTTTCATTACTTTGCTTTCGGTGAGGTTGACTGAAGATAGAAGAAGACTAGGGTACCAATCCACTCCACTACATCCCCTTAAAGAGTTATTAAGAAGGATTGATGCATCATGGCGTCAAGTATAGCAGTATCTGTGCTATGAATGTCGCGATGTGCTCGGTTGGGTTTGAGTTGCCCTTGAAGGTTTCCAAACTGGGGAGTCAGGAACCTTTGGGGACATGTTCTTGAATTTATCGGGTGAAAGGGCATCATGTGTGAAAATTAACCTTCTTGACCTCCTTCCCTCATTTAATTTCTCACCTCAAATCCTTGATATTTTGGTCCCTTTCATGTAGTTGCTTCTAAACATTCGAGAGTAAATCAACCTTTGGTCCCTTTCATGTAGTTCTTATCGAACATCGAGCTGGGGGTTGGAGGTGCATTGCCTTCAACTATGTTCCCATTGTGTAGCAACTCAGTTTTCTTATGACATTTACAATTGTTCTAGAGCCAAACTATTTAGGGAGTCTTTGGTTGTCCAACGTATTTGTACAAGTCTTGGAGGCATCAAATTGATTAAGTCGTAAGATCGTTGTTAGGACCGCACATGGATTCGACTAGACATCTTGCAAAACTAGGTTGGGGATGTGCTAGATAAAGGTTCTGATGCTTAAGTTAGAAATGCAAGGCCATTAGTGTTATATTGAGAAGAATCAGATATTTGACTGAGCCAATGTGTTGACCTTTTAATAGATGTTTTTGGTAACTGTCGACATTTAGTGGGGAGTTATTCTATAAGATGGTTTTATAGAGCCGTTGTCGGGCATTACTTGGTTTTTGGGATTCAATTGAAATGTTTGGGTGTTGGACCATAGTGCTTGTGTGTCGATTGAAATGTGTCGACCTGTCACGGACTTAGTTGGTTTTGCCTAAGTCGTGCGGCACCCTTGCGTGTCCATTCGTAATGGTCAACCTCCCCGAAACCTCCCATGGTCCCTTAGGACCTACAAAAGAGAAAACGGGTTAGAGAAAGCGTCTCACTCGGGATCCACAAGCAAACATTTCAGAAAACACTTCATAGCCAATGCAAATTACAAAGTCTTTACAAGCTCTAAACGGTCGCACAACAAAGGATCCAAAATGGTCCACTGCAGATCAAACATCTCTCACAAGTGTCCACATGACACAACCTTTATTTACAAGCCTAAAACAGCCACCAAACCTAACCAAAATTGGGCAGTTAAGCATTCGACCGTCCCTCTACATGATGTGCAAAGCATGAACAAACCAAAAGACACGGACACACATAAATATTTCATCGAACATTCTGTTTAGAATTTTGTCCATGATAGACCGTGTGGCCAAATGTGTCAAACTGACGTTTGAGTGGGTGACGTTAGATTGGGTGTTGAGTTGGCAATGATATGGTGATGATTTGGGCGGGGTGATGATGTGGTGTCCGCATGCCCACATATGGTATAAATTACGTGTCCGGGTCATTTGTATTTCATTTTTTATTAATTAGAGATTAGCTGCCACAATAAGACAAATTTTGGCGAGTTGTGTCCTTGTTCATTTCCTGTGGTTACTATCTACTATCTGTAATCAGTTGTACGGAAGTACAAGTTGTTGCTTAGGAATTTGTTTCTTTTCGCGAAGCCTGTAGCTAAATGTCACTCCCACTTGGTTGAATTTTTTTTTTTTTGAGAAAACCATTTATTTATTTATGGACTTGTGATTTTAGAGTTTCTGATGATGTCTTAAAGTTTGGTCACAATTGGATCTGCACTTGTTTTGTTCTCATTTAATCTTCTGAGATAATTGATCAATGCCATTTACGTCTGATACTTTGTCACCCACCAATAGTCGGTTACTACTGCTGTTTCTGTTGTTTCATTGATAAACTTGTTTTTTCTAATATCCAGCTGATGAGCTATTGTCCGATTCATTTCATTGTAAGGAAATTGAAAATGGGATGTTGTGGGAAGTCCAAGGAAAGGTTAGCATTTTCATTTCTTTCTAAGTTGTGTAATTTTATCATTAATAGAATATTATATTTTGAACATTTAGACTTGTTTCTTATGGTTGTCATTATATGTTAGCTTTAGTATGCTATTGATGCATGTCCTCTGCTTTTGTTACACCACCTTCCTCCTGATGCCTTTTTTAGTGCTACTTCATGACATCAAAATGAATTATTCTAGGGTCATTTCAGAACTAACTAGTAGTTGTGTGCGCACTAGTCTACAAATTTGTTATCTCAGCTGCTCATGTTTTCAATTCATTATGATTGACTGATTGGCAGTGGGTTGTTAAAGGAGCTATCGATGTAGACATCGGAGCAAACCCTTCTGCTGAAGGTGGTGAAGATGAGGGGGTTGATGATTCTGCTGTTAAAGTGGTTGATATAGTTGACACATTTAGGCTTCAGGTCAGTGCTCCTTTCTAGATATGCGGTATCTGTTCAGTTTTAATTTGAAGTTTACAAAATATGAGTGTGTCCGCCATTGATGTCAACAGGAACAACCAGCCTTTGATAAGAAGCAATTTGTGACCTATATGAAGCGCTATATCAAGCTACTGACACCTAAACTTGATGAAGAGAAGCAAGAGTTGTTTAAGAAACACATCGAAGGAGCCACCAAGTTCTTGCTTTCGAAGCTCAAAGATCTACAATTGTAAGGATTAAATTTGTTTGTTTCCTATATATATATATATATATATATAAAATAATTTTACCTTTTTTTTTTCATTTCAGACAAGAAAAGCAATAAAAGAAGTTTTTATTTATCTTTTCTTAGATACCCTTATTGTGACTATTATTAGGCTTATATCTTAGCATTGTTCACTCTAATGCTTTTCAGATAATGTCATAATTTTTTCCTGACAAATAATATGTTTTGGCAGTTTTGTTGGTGAAAGTATGCATGACGATGGCAGCATGGTGTTTGCGTATTACAAGGATGGCGCCACTGATCCGACGTTTTTGTATTTTGCCTATGGATTGAAGGAGGTCAAGTGCTAAAGACGATGGTACATGTGCTTTGGATATCGCAGTTTTTTTGTTTGATTTATCTTTTATCCAAGTGATGTTAAGTAGAACATGTAAAATTCAATTTTGGAATTGACGTAACATTTAATCTGAGGATTGGATTCATAAGAAGAAAATATTAATTAATTATTATGAGGGGCCATCGAACAATGAAGGATTGAATTAAATTGAGTACATAATTTTTGCTTTCGTCTGGTGTTTATGAGAGTACTTGGGCTTTGTGTTTATGAGAGTACTTGGGTATCTGTTTCGATGCAGGTTCACCACATGCATGCATATATAGACGTCAAAATGTGTGGTCTTAAATATGCTTGCTATCCGGTGACCTTACCCACGTGTTTGCACGAGAAGATATAAAAAGTGGTCAGAATGCCTAATCTTACCAAATGGTTTATTTGGTCTTAGTGTTAGTATGTCGGATTTGGAATAGATTCGGAACAGGAAAGCACTCCATAATAATCATTATGCTAAATGCCCTTGAGACTTGGCTTCTATCGCAGACTTAACACAGATTGTTATCTTAGTAGAAAGGGGGATAGTAAATGGCCTTGAGAGTGAGTGTGAATCTGCTAGATGGTTCAAAGGGATGCTAAGCGTAACTTCCAGATACCGACGACCCCCGAGGCCATGAAACCAACGATAGCATATGAACAAAGCATAATCACCCAAACTGTACCTACGTTCTAACAGAGTCTCCAACAATTTCAAGTGGCGACTAGAGGTAATTGCCAACTCATATATGTCCCAAGATTGCATTAATCCTTTGAATGCATGATATAGATTGCCAACTCATATATTAATACGTTCTCAGAGCGAGAGTTCGGAGTTTGAAATAGCATGTTTGCCTGGCAAATTTGACTTATATTATTTAGAGAATAATAAAAATCATTTATTTTGGAGGGATATACATACATACACAATGTATATGCAATTATGCCCAAAAGAAAAAGGAACCACAGCCGAGGCTGCAAAAGAGACACATGCTGGTTTCATATTGGGATAACATGTATGCTGAACAAGAGCCTATAATAAAACTAAAATTTGCATCCTTTGTTACTTTTACCCAGACAAGCATGCACAGATAGATCATCCTTCAACCAGGCAGAGGTACCAGATTACAGATGACAAAAATACCATATGTTCTATACCACCTTGATAGATGACATTATATATATATATATAACTTGCTCTTGATATAAATTAACAGTTCACAAATGTACCTCCCTATGGAAACTAAATACAGGGCTGAGAAGGAAACCTGGCTATGTTGGTTGGCAGATTAGCTAGCATTGCCAAAGGGGTTTAAGAGAAGGGGCTATACACAAAATGGATGTCTCCTACATGAAATAGCTCAATGCTTTCTTCTTCCTCGATCCTCCTTCGCCATAGAGCTCATTCCATTGTTGAAGCTCACTCATATTTGAAGATTCAGATGACACACTCGCACACACCTGTGAGTACAAGGTTTGTTTAAGCAACTCCAATATATAGTATACTCAAAAATGGATGTCAACTTCAGCTTTATCTTTATTCTAAACATAAGCAAAATTTAATTTCTCAACCCACAAAGATTTAGGTAATTCTGATGGGAAGAAACATGATTTAGAGATGGGAGCTTTTTTCTTTTTGTTCTTTTTTTCCCCATTATGTTCCTGTTTTTTTTCTTGGTACAGAAAAGAGAAAGGAAGAATTTCAGACAACATGATTCTATACCATAAAATGATATCTGATTCTAGATGAAGCAAATAGCCTACAAATGTTAACGAAGTCTAAAAATGATAAATCTTAGACCTTCTAGATCAAAGGTCATTAACCTTTGACCTTTGATTCTAGATCAATGATAAACCTTATGTGCTATCCATGAGGAAGAAACATTGGCAAGACAAATATAAGGTCAGAGGAGTCAGATCCTTCTGCTCCTTAAGCAGCAGGTATCCAGTGTGTGTGTGTGTGTGTGTGTATGAGAGAGAGAGAGAGAGAGAGAGAGAGAGAGAAAGAGAGAGAGAGAGAGGATGGGGAGTGGAGTTAAAAGCTACCTGTTCATGTGCATATTTAAAGTCTTCCATGTTCAAAGGACGAACATCCTCACTTGCATATAATGTGGGTAAAGGTCTACCTTCTGCTATGGCTAAATTCTTTTCCTGTATGTGACAAGAAAAAGCTTAGGGCAATTACTAAAAAATCAGAAGGAACTATTATTATGTGCAACAGTGTTGAAATCAACATAAGAGCACAATAACCAAAGCACTGGTTAGCAAAACATCATGCATAAAACCTGCAAATGATATAAACATAATATAAATAAAACCATATGTTTGATTTAGTTCAGACAAATGGATCGATTCATTTGTAAACATCTGTGTAGTCAAAAGCTTTTGACTTGTCGAGGTAACTCTCATGGCATCGCTTTGCTTGCACTGTGGCCCATCATTGTTGAGATGAAAGGAAGTTCTTTTGATTTTTTTTAAAGTCGTTTATTATAGAATCTAGTAGAACAGAATAATCTTCAAATTCATTTACATCCACACTTTTGTTTTATTCAATTCCTTTGTTGGGCACTGAAAATGTCTGTCAAACCCTTTCAACTGTAGTGGTAGCTACATGAAGGACAATAATATGTCTAGACATCAGCGTTGCAATTTTAAGGTAATCGTCTTTAACACAATTCTTTGTTTTCATCCTTAATTTAGTTGATAATTTCACACACAAGTGTTTTGCAAACATTTGCACTATCAAGTGATTTGATATACTAATCATTGTTTTAAATTTTGATCCATTGGCTCATATCAGGTGCCATACGCACATTTGAAATGAAAATTGAAACAAAACTGATTATATTACACTTCATACAACTGCTTAACTATTACCAGTAAGATATTATGCCTCAAAAATCTTATTTTTTATAGTCAATGCTAATTTTCTTATAAAGATAAAAGATCAAACTGGAAAAAGAGAGAGATTAAATAAAATATTGATCAAAGATTTGAATGGTTCAAGACTAACCTTCTTTTCTTTCTCCAAAATCTCTCTAATGGGACAATGTGCAGCAGTTACACAGAGATTCTAAAACAACCATAAAATATAAACTTTCTTAATTCCTCAAGAAACTATAAGAAAACAAGATCAAATTCTATCCAAACAAACCTTCAAGTCACTTCCTGAATATCCATCAGTCATATTTGCAAAGACTTCAAGATCAACACCTGGTGCCAACTCTTCTTTTGACAATATAACTCTGAGAATCTTCTCTCTGTTTAATGCATCTGGTAAATTTACCATCAATCTGCACAAAACATTGTTATATGTTAGACAAGTTGATCAACCCTCAATTTATCCAAACATCAGCATTTACCTTCGTGGAAGCCTCCTTATAACTGCCTCATCGAGGTCAAAGGGCCTGTTGGTAGCAGCAAGAACCAAAACACGTTCTTTATCTTTGGTTCGCAATCCATCCCAGTTGACCATAAATTCATTTTTCATTTTGCGCATTGCTTCATGCTCTCCAGGGTTTTCTCTCCTGCCCAACATACTGTCAACCTATAAAATAGAAAAAAAAATCACTTACAATAACTGACGTAAATTATAAGAATGAAATAAAAATAAGTGATGTTGGACTGATACTAAATTTTGCAGTAAAAACTAATCAGTACACTGACCTCATCAACAAAGATAACACTAGGAGCAATTTTACTAGCCAATGTGAATACTGCTTTCACGTACTTTTCTCCTTCTCCAAACCACTGTTACAATGAGTGCATTAGATTTGGTAGGAAAAGACAATTTCTTTAAAATACTACAATCCATGATATAAGCTAGGATTGCCATTCTGCGTTGTGGTCCATGTCAGTATCAAATCCGGCATAACAATTTCTTAGGTTGGCACAGCACAAGCCAAAAGTTGGTCTAACAATATTTTGGCACTTCCAAAACGGTCAAATTGATATCTTTATGATATATTACATCTCAATCATATTGATATTCACATGTTGGCATGGCAATCCTTGGTTATAAGCAGATGATGAACATAAAGTACCTTCGAGGTGATGCTTGACATTGATATATTGATAAAATTTGCACCTGCCTCTGTTGCAACAGCTTTAGCAAGCATCGTTTTTCCTGTGCCAGGGGGGCCAAAGAGCAGTATTCCTTTGCATGGCTGAAAAACAAAAAAGGATGACATTATGAAACTCTGAGGTATCAATATTTCATCCTAGTCTGGATGATAACAAATGTACTGAGAACTTGCAAGAAGGTGAACATGCAATTTTAGCCTTAGGAAACTTTTCAACATAAATTACGATTGCACGAGGGCAACACTTAAATTTTGTCTCAACCATTAAAATCATGCATAAGCATATCTAAATCTAAAATGAAAAAAACAAGCAACTGTACACGAAGAATATCAGCACAGGAGTATTATTCAGAAATGATCACCATCATTTCATTGCTCTAATCCTTGAGTTCTTCAACATTCTCAAATTGGATACCGAATTAATTTCAAGCACATCTTTCATTGGGGCCATCTTTCATAAGAACCATAATGGTCTCTTGCATGTCCAAATCAAACTTGAGAAGAAAATGGTATTTTAATTACAGTCGTCAGCTGATTTATGGAATGTAATTATAAGGAATTTTACAAAGATGGGCTTGAGGGCTTTGAGGATATTTTGAAGTGGACTCGAGAATTGTAAAAGCTAAAGGGCATCATGAAAGATTTAAAGGTGCGGTGGTCAACACTGGTATCAATAAGAAAGGCAAAGATGGGGTAAGTACTTGAGATGATTGATAGATTCTCACAGGTTTGTAGCCTGGAGTTGCACGTTTGGCTAGTAGAATCACACCACCATCTTGCAGATGAAAAAGACAATTTCTAAATTTCATTGCTTCAAACCAGTCACATCCAAAAAATTAGGACTAATGAAATTAGTAAATACAGTTATACAAAATTTGCAATACCGCCCGATACTTCAGTACAAGTGGTATTTACCGATACAGACACCAGAGTAAACCAAAGGATATGCCCAGGGGAGTCTAAATTATTAGTAAATACGATAGACAAGATTTGCAATACCACCTGGTACAATTTGGTATGGGAGGTATGCACTCGTCCCATAGGTACACAAGCCAGGGAAAATCGGACCATATGTCCGGTACATGGCCTCTACCGCTCAGACACGATCATACCACCCATTACAAGGCGATACAAGTCCTGCACCAAAAAGATTCTTTTTTTGCTTTTTCAACAATTGTTTGGGCTTTTTTCTTGACTTGGTACATACTGACATATCAAGTAAGGAAAGACTTATTAATGAATTGCAATGTAAAGATTTTTCATGCAATGTAAAGATTTGGAGAATAGATCACTTTGGCATAGGTTACATCCTATATTTTACTTTTGAGTGAAAATAAACATGACATTAAACTTTGTATTAGGTGTTGTAAGATTCGGCCAATATTTAGGGTTCCTAAGATATCTGGTCCAACATGATAACTATCCTTACAGTTTCTAGAAAGCTAAAAAACTTAACTATCCTTATTAGGCAGTAAGCTTTGCTTGAGACCATGTAAATTATCCAATACACATACCGATGGACCACTGGATCAGTAGATACGAGTCCATATCGACTGGTATGGTCAAAATTTTGAACCTTGATCTCAAACTCTAATATATATAATTAAATTGTCCCTTATCTATGTCGTACAGTGTTCTTTGAAACCTTGGCACTTTTTAGCACCTAGTGTCTTGGACAACACTAGGACATGTTGATCCCAAAGGTATAAAAGTATCTGTCTAGTACCATTTCAGCATTCCGTGCTCATATCCGAGGTCTGCACAATATTGCACTAGAACAGATCAAGAAAAGCTTGGTGATTCAAGCCTGGTATAAGGTGTATCATCCAGTACAAGACTTGTACCAAGTGTACCACCTGCCTGGTACAACCTTGTACTGTTCAGTACAAGACTTATACCCTAGAATAAGCCTCGTACCATACAGTAAACTTTTTCTATTTTTCAGCCTTTTTTCAGGCTTTTTTCATAACTTGATACACACCGAGACAGTATGCCAGTATGGCTCATACTCCTAATTGTCCGAGGTAGGATTGATATGGGTCGGCTACCCTTGCTCATATCCGTGCTTAAATGTTTTCTTATCTAATCAATCTAACCTTATTTCTTCTCATTAGGTTATTGAACTTGTTATTTGCATTGCAGGGACTATTTTGTGACTTGAGCCTCCACCTAGGTCACAACAACCTTACTACAGAGACAAGGCTCATGAGCCAAATAAGCATTAATGAAATATTGTGTTTACACAAGATCCACACTTTTTTGGTAGTTCGACAGTTGAGCTTCAATTTTTGGATTGCTGATATCAAATAATAGCAACTTTGAAAAGGAATGCATTATTAATAACCAAGCAACATGTGAGAACACATGAACCTATAAAATTTATGGAAAAAAAAGAAGTATCTAGAGTGAAGAGGATGCTCATAATTAAGTAATTAACAACATATCAGACAAAAGGAACACAAAATTGACTACCAAACTAAATGCAGCACTCAGAATCTATTGCTTTCAATTAAATAACAGAATCACATTAAAAAAAGGTTACAAACATAGATATATAAGAACTGTCAACTTAATGGCTTGATAGCAGCCCATATAAAAATTTATTTTGGCAACAAAAACCTAGAAAGCACACCAAAAAATTCAATTTACTGAAAAAAAAAATACTTGGAAAGAAGCTTGTTCAAGATCAGAAGCACCTTAGTCAATTGTCCTTTGCAAAACAATTCTGGCCTCTGCAGAGGAAGCATCACCAATTCCTTTAGTGTTTCTTTCACATTCTCCAAGGCTCCAATGTCATCAAAAGTAACTCCTATGTCATTAGGCGGAATAACATCGGCAAGAAGCCTTTTCTCAAATTCATTCTCAGTGACTACATCCTGTAAAGGTGCAAGTTGATAATCAGTTGACAGATGAAAGCACAACAAAAGACCATCAGAACCCAGCACTGAAACCTATTGCACTTGCATTACTAATCAAGTTTACAGTTGTTTGTTGGGGAGGAGAGAGAGAGAAAGAGAGAGAGAGAGAGAGAGAGAGAGAGAGAGAGAGAGAGAGACCTTGAGTGATTTCTTTAAACTCTTATTATCATTTTGGAAACTCTGCAGCATGCTTAACCCATGCTTAAGGCTGCCAGTTTATTGATAGTAGTGTCAGAAGGTCAGGAGGCAGTTTTATATAAGCCTCAAGTTTCACAAGTTACACCGTAAATATTGTTGATAGTATGATAACCTTTCATTGGAGAGTATGAGCTTTGCATCCTTTGACAAGGCTTCATTTCTACTGTGCTTAACGTGATAACTAAGAGCAAAACCAACTACCTTATCCACACCTGCAAAGACAATCCATATGAGGAATGATTTGTCAAAGCATTGGTAATAATAACAAGTAGACCAAAAGAAGGCACACACTTTCATTTGTAAGTGCTTGATCCTTTATTGATACTGTTTCAATATCATTGCAGTCCAACCCACAGCGATTCAGAAACTGTAATATATGGAAGATTAAAGATAAGATGATTGCACAAATGTATCTAATATGTCCATTATAACAGCAATGGTAGTGAAGCGAAAACGAGAGAAAAGAAACTAAATCTTGAACTTAATATGGTCAATAGGGATGCTTCAAAGAGAAAAGGCAGGAAAAAGTGGACAGAGAGATAATTGAAGTATGAACAAAAGGATCAGCAACATAAGATCTGCAGTAACGCATTTTGTAGTTACATTTATTTGATTTCCATGAATAATACATCAGCACTTTTAGTAAGCTAGCTAGCAAAGAGCCATTAGATCATGAAGATCAAGAAAAAGATTGCAGGTTGATTCTGCACCAAGGCAGTCATGGGAGGGGAAGGTGCATATAGGATATAGCATTCATAATTCTCCAATAAATACTATAATTAATTAGTAATAACTAAAACAGAGGAAGAAATATAAAGCTGAACTAGACTAGTTCAATCTTGATAAGTCCTGTTGCCAATTAAAAAAAAAAAAAAAAAGATATCTAGGTTTTAGCAGCACGATGGTGATTAAGCAACACCAACAAAATTTGTAGTAGATACTGTAAATCTCAAGTCATGTTAAATTACCAAGCAATTTATACCTTGTGCACCCAATAAGTTCATCTTCCAGGAAATGTGCTCTCTCCACTAATAATAAAGTTGCTATTTGAATACAATTTTCAGACAAATGTCAAGGATACCATATTAAAAGTACCAAAGCCTGAAAATTAAATTGTCATCAATATTTTGTCAAGTATCAGAATGTTATCTTTCAATATTTTTGCAAAGACACAATTTTCGATCTGAAGATGCAAATGAAATGCAATCATCGAGAAACCTAAAATATGCTTTTCAAAAATACAAAAACAGCTTTATTGAAAGGCCCAACTTTGTAAACGAATCCTAACCCTCAACCGATGGTAAAGTATTATATATTATGGAACTCAGTGTACATTCTGGAGAGATAAAAGGTAAAAAGAAAATAGATGGATCAACTCTTTAATATTTTTTAATTAATCAAACTTACAGAACGTAAACTGAGAACGTTAGACTTGGCTTTAAGAGTTTCAACATCACGATCCAACTGTTGTTTCCATTCTGAAAGTTGGGTTTCATCCTGCCACAGTTACTAGGATTTCAGGAAAGTACTTTCTTAAAGAGAGAAAAAACGAGTACATACCAACACAATATGCCAACTTAAACCTGTGGAAGCTGAATCACAACTTTGTTAGGGAAAAGTCTAGAGAGCTGCTTCATCGTCTTAGGAATTTCTTTGCTTCTTTCGTGCAGTCTACCAAAGTTATCCTACGCAGTACAACAAGAAATATACACCAGATTAGTGCAAACTAATATAAACAGTACAATAGGGTTGCTAATTCTATTGGTGCTTTAAGGGAAATGTAAGAAAAGTTCAATTGCCTCAATAAAACAACATATAAACAACTTATTAAACTAGGGATAAAAGTACCATTTGACAAAGAAATCCAGGAAAAGCCATGAAGAGATGCCATAACATGGTGAGAACACATCTGGTAAAAGTGAATGATTGCAGTTTCGGTTACCAGACCCATGCCCGTCCAAGGTTAGACTGGTATGGGTCTGGTCCATCCAGACGTACCAAGTGTCAGAACGCCGAAATGCACTACTAATTGTTGAGGGAGAGAGTAGGGGGGCAAGAAGGAAGAGGACACAAAGGAAAAAGAAAGAAGAGGAAGAAGGAAACGGTGAAGGAAGAAGAAAAGAAAGAAGGCCAAAGAGGATGAGAAAGAAGACGGAGGAAAAAGAGGAAGAGGCATACTGAAGTTGGCCATAGGCGACGTGTACGATCGGCGATAGACAACGTACTGTCATGGAGCAATGCAGTCCAGATGTTCGACACATGTCCATGACACTTTTCAGTTCTTTTTTTCTATCATTTTCGATTTTTTTTTAGTGTTTTCTGTTATGCAGCATGTACGGTGCAAAATTTACTACTGTCGGCCCCATTTTTGTTTGTTAATAAGTGTTTTAGTTTTGTGTTTCTGTCATGTAAAACTCAGAAATGTTTCTAGTTGCACAACGTCGTGTGAAGGAAAAAATAGCCCAAAACAACCCCATTCGTGTGTGCCACGGGCTGAGTTCTAGCTAACGGCCTTGTGATGCAAAACATCATCCGTCTCAATACCTTGGAACCCCCGGGTGGCACTGAGGCGGATGGGACCTTGAGTATATGTCTGAGGGGTGATGCAACGTCTTTAGTGTGCCCATGTTCTGTTCGACAAAAGTACCAGGTGAATATTTGACCTGCATCTACCTTTGGAACCCCTTTTGTGTGTGCTCGCTTAGCCGATTTTCGAGATCCTTTCGTGTCTAATAAAAGTCGGTTGCTTTGTATTGCTTGTGATCCTGGTTATCTTGCCTTTTTTGTGCGCGACGACGACATATTACCCACATGTTTGCCTTTCTAACTTTTTCTTTGCTAGGCAATTCTCCTGTGAACTACACGAGGTTAAGGTCTAGGCTGACCCTTGCAAACAAGCATCGCTTGGGTGGCACGTCCTAGGTAATTCTAGCTAAGGACATGACAATACGGCAAGCAACGAATGACGAATGGCGAGCCATAGGTGATCCTCCCTACAAGTGAAAGGAATGGCATGCTCGTCTCAAACCCTAGTTAAAAGAAAAAATATTATATATAATTACCCGTACTGGTCTGATGGCCAACTGGTACATGGATCGAGTGATCTTGTTTTGTTCCAAGCAATACCACCTATTACCAGTACCTTTTATTTTCTAATTTCGACAACTATCAGCTACCCTTTCTTTTCCTTCTTCTTCTTTCTTTTTCCGTCAAGCTCCCTCTCTCTCTCCTGTCTCACGTCACAACCATCTCATCAGAGTCACTGCCTCCACCACCTCCTACCAATATGCATTGTCTTCCTCTTCCTCCCCTCCTTTTCCCTCCTTCTATCTCCTTTTCCCTTTAGTCTGAGCAATATCAGACAATACCAACCAATATTGGTTGCCAATATGCCACTCCATATGGATCCAATCATCAACCAATATCAGTAAAAAACTGAGGTTTTAATCTATGCCTATAGCCACTTTGTCCAAAACATTTAGCCCAAGTTAATGATACTAGACTCGTCTAGCTCCATAAAAAATCACATACGATCTCTTACTTTAGATATGAGACTTAACTTGAGCCTCACAATTTCCCTCATTCCAGGCTTCATATCCTGTTCAAAACCGACGACCTAACACAGCTCAAAATCATGTCTACTCAGCAGCATACAAGGCCTAGTCTAGTGGTAACTACATATTGCAATGTGCATCCAGCCACATCCATTGATAGCTCTGTCCTACCAGGACCCCTCACCAAATCTCACAACCTGATGAGAGAACTTACTCATTACCTCGTTGATAAGCTTGACACCACATGGTCTAAAATGCTTCAGCGAAATTACTGACAGTAGACCCCTATAGCCCCATAAACCAACTCTTTCTTCTTTCACTTTCAATGTGAGACCAAATTACAATGTCTGTCACCATGCCTAATACTAGGTCCATTCTAATAGAAGCTCACCCATTAAACTAGCCAGCTTAAACCACGTGACCCAAAAAACTCTAGTATAAATTACTAGCAATAGGCCCATCTAGGCCCATACACAATCACATCCATTCTCCCCCTTCAAATGTGAGACCATATCGGAATTGGGAATGTTACACTCCCATTTAAGAGTTAATGTCCTCATTAAAGCCCAAGGTCAAACTCCCTATCTCATAATTAGACCTTAGTAAAAAATATGTGAGACAAAGCCCACTAGTAGTTTCAATCTGTAATGTGCTTTCAATCCCATCCAAATGTAGTTGAAATCTACTCGAGCCCAGCTCAGAGGTGACTCCACACCATGATGTACCTCTAGCCTCAATTACGAGTAGTCATTTTCTAATGATGGAGACCATGAATCTATAGTAAGGACCTTTACTTACATTAGTATGGATGTGATTGATATTGAATTATTTTACAATTGTTTTTTCCTATCTCTCTTTTTCTCTTTAGTAAATGTACCATCAATGCTTGGTCCCTTTGGTAGTATAAGGTAGGAAAACCACATGATCCAAGTCAATCATATTAGGAGCTGATCTCCTACTGAATAAACTAACATCGTAAGCCACCTTTTCAGGGCTTCCTTGCACTTGTTGTCCTGTCCAGCACATGAGAATCACTAGACTGCCTCATGTTGGGATTCCTGCTTAGCCTGTGCAGTCTTGCTTATCCTGTGCATCACCAGTCTGTAGGTCAATGTCTCATGGTCTCCTTATACCTGAACTGTTACTCCAGGGATACATGAATCATTTCAATCCTCGTACACATCATAAATGCCTGGGTCACATGTTTGCCTATCCATATTCTTCCATTGTGGTTTAGCTATAGCCTTGGGGCCTTTTTAGCATTCAACTCTACCTATAAAGCTCGTCTAATTTTCTGTGGCCCCTTCATGCATTTGGCCACATCAAAAAATCCATTGACCTAATAACGATTTTTTTTTCACCCCGACCAATATAGTTAAAGTGGATGCATTGCCAATGATGGTAGTTATTTACGCAACTAAAATGTTACCAAACCAGATCAATACTCTACTGCTTTGGTGTAAATATTTTACAAAAGTCGTCAATCTTAATTGGAGACAATTTAAAAAATTCATTTAATATCAGGAATCAAGGTCGGATTAACATAGATCTGGTCTAGATCTACCAATATCTAAGCTTGATCCATGCGGATCTAGGATGAATCCCAACAGATTTTGACTAGATCAGAATGGATTTTTAACATGATCTGAATGGATCTTCATCGAATCTATACTATATTGGCTTGAAAGCAAACAAATTGTCATCAATTGTGTAAAAAACTGTCTCACTCATTTCGAAATGACAGAACATATTCATCCCTGAACTTAAGAAAAAAAACTAAAATATAGTTCTAATCGATGAAAAATACTTTAGGAATAATATATTACAATAATACCAAGGTTTGCAATTTTGTACTGGGGTACTATACCAGTCCTTGGCTGGACTGGGACTGGTGTACTGACTCGGTACACTGGTGTGTACTGAAGAGGAAGGAGGAGAAGAAGGAAAGAGGAGGAGGTGATGGAGAAAGGAGAGGAAGGAGGAGGAAGATAAAGGAAGAAGAGGAGGTAGTGAAGGAAGAAAAAGCAGCGGAGGAAGAGGAGGAAGTGGAAGGAAGAAGTGGTGATGGGGGGAGAGGAGAGGAGGAAGAGGAACGGAGAGGAGGAAGAGAAAGGAAGACAAGGAGGCGGTGGATAAAGAGGAAGAAAGAAGAGATAATGGACGAATAGGAGGAAGAAGGAAGAAAGAGGAAGAGGAAGGGAGAAGAGAAAGCAATGGAGGAAAGAGAGGAGGAAGCATACCCAAAATGATGGCACATCGTGCGCGATGGGGAGGTAGGCGACAGCATACAACAAAGGTTGGCTTGTGATTTTAGGATCCGCACATACAGGAAAGAAGGCTCATGAACCAATGTTTCCAAATGCGCTAGGCACAAGGTACCAATGCGCTTGAGGCATTAGGCACTCACTCAAGCAAAACGAGGGGCGACCGAATATTAAAATGCAAAAAATATATACCTATAATTTATTTACAATTTGATATACCAAGCAAACAAAGCAACGTGTTCCTACCTATCAATGTGTATGTCCTAACTCCTAACAGTGTTAAATTAATAAGTTCCTAACATTTTAACAAAGTCCAAGAAATAGGAGATCGTTAAACAAAGTGCTCAAGCTATGGTAGGAAATAGGAGATCATTTAACAAAGATGGGAGATGGAGAAGTAACCAGCTAGCAAAAGGTTGTGGAGTATGGCACTGAGGAAGGCAACAGTGCACGACGGAGGAAGATTGGGTTCTCCGACTCAGGTAGGGTTCATGCGACTCAAATGGTGCTTAGGGCAAAGGAAGGTGGCAACCGACGGCGGAACAAAGCTGATGAATGACGTAAGCTGCACAGGACAGAGAAATGAAGCTTCACACGGCGGCGTAGTGCAGAGGAGGCTTGCGATCGACGATGTAAGCCGACTGAAGACGCTGCACACAATGGCATAGGGCGGAGGAGGCTCGCGATCGACGATGTAAGCCGAAGGAAGACGCTGCACACAGCAGCGTAAGGCAGAGGAGGCTCATGGTCGACAATGTAAGCCAAAGGAAGATACTGTATATGGCGGCACAAGGCGAAGAGGCAGGGTTTCTTCCACTAGATTCTTCACTGGGTTGGGCGCAGAGGGTAAGTTGTTGATTAGTTAATTTGGTTCAGCCAACTAAGTCCAATTGACTGAACCCAATCAAAAGCCCAACCAACCTCATGCATTATTTGACTCAAGCGCACAGCTGAGTCGCCCAGCACCTGGGCTGAGGCATGCTTCTGAGTGGCACCTCATCGCTAGCCCGAACTTGTTACAAGTTGCTTGGGTGCCTAGGCGGGCACCCGGGCACCTATTGAAAACACTATCACGAACACAGTCCTAACAGAAGTAAACACAACTTTTATTTTTTTTTTTTAAATAGATTGGACTGGACCACCAAAAAAGGAGGTGGTCCGCATCTAGGTTCGAGCTTAGAGTCTGATGGTACGAGCTCAAACCAGGTGAAATTGCAATCCATGAACAACACAACTTCATTCAACAAAAAGTAAGTGAGCAACTTCAAATTCGAGATTCAAAATTTCCCTTTTATGGGGGGAGAGTAAGTCTATTTCTTGAAAATGAACCTTCAATTGTTTGAGATTGATCTTGGATTGGATAAAATGTTGGTATGAATAGTAAGGTTGAGTGTTTGGTGATAAAATGGTGAAAGATGGTGCTGAATTTGAGAAAGGGGTGAAACACTTGGATTCGACAAACGGGCAGTGTGCTTACCGCCCAATGCACAATCTCCAATGGACAAAAACCAGACCCGTCAAAAACTATGAAGCACTTGGTCCTTATCTTTTTCTTGGTCAAATCACAAAAACATTATGTAAGTATGTTTTTCTTGTCCAAGATGTAATTTGCTGATAGCATCTAGGCATTAACTATAAATCATAGCTATGTTGAAATTAAAAAATAATCACAAGCTCATAAACATGACTGATGCCAATAAATTTATACAATTGAAAGGAATGTGATTAGGGTACCGGGAAAGCCAAATCAAGCAGGGCTGTCTGGTTGCTTCCAAATTTTGTAAAAAGAAGCCCTCCAGGGTGTGACTGCAAAATGTATTATGTGTTACACAATGATAACAACAACAACAAGACAAAATATGACAAATTTGCAGTCAGCTAAAGGATTCTACTTCCAGCCTTTTCTACTTATTAAGCATGAAGGAAAAGGAATTCCAGATCCAAGGATGAACATTCAGAAAGCAATACATATTAAAAAAGGAAAGTACTACCTTCTCTTTGCGGTTATCAACCTGGGAATGTAAACCGATTATAAGAACACCTTGTGGCATAAATTCAAGCTTGTTCTTCAAGGTTGCATATGAATCAGTACTTCCAGACATAGATTTCTCAATATCTTTAAGCAACACAATCAAAGGGCCACTTTTTCTTTCTTCTAGTACAACCTAAAAAAGGAAACAGTCAAAAGATTTCAGATACAAATATATAATTGTATATTAACAGTTTAACACAACCAATAAGAACAACGTGTCACACCTCTAGCAACTCATTGACTGCAAGCCTTCCAACATCTTCACCTCCAGAGAAGTCCGGGCGAAGTAAATCAGCTGCATAGAATGTGAGAGATAAGGCAATAAAGTAAAGCATGGTTTGCAGTTACCATTCGATACGGTATGGTACGAGCTGGTATTTACACAGCTTACGTATACACAGACCAAGGTTATAACAGTCGTACAGAGAGACTGATACAAGGCTGGTACTGCCTGATACGCCCAGTGCAGACCCTGTACTGGGCGTATATATTTGAGCAGTCGTTTTTTTTTGTTTTTTAGTTTTCTTAGATTTTTTCGTAAACTCGGTACATACCGGCATCTGATACTTGGTAGATTGGTACAGTACCAATTCGATCCCTGACCAGTACAGTACCAGTACATGAAACTGTGAACTTTGAAGAGAAGTAGCATGATAGCAATAAAAAAAAAAAGTGAGAACAATGCCAGTTGACAATCACCGGTGCAGAAGAATCCATGATCTTCCTCGCATAGGCCTCCAAGATCATTACCCTCTGGAATTTGTTTGTCGAATCTAACTCCAATTTTCGAGGAACCATTTTCTTCAAAAGCAAGAACTACTTTCCCACGATACCCATAATTTGGACCCCTGCATATCACAGAATAGTCATTGAACTTGGCATGACAAAACACAAGGATATTTCTAAATAACACAACAATAATAAACCACGACCAAGCATACATGAAGAAAATACTTGCTTTTAACAAAATGCTTCTAGTATGTCATCATACATTATGCATCAGTATCAAGAACATTAAAATTTTGGGCCACAATTTTGATTTTTTTTCACATTTGGCTTATTTGGGAAGTACTAAGTTATGATATTCATTATTGGTGTAAATTGCATTTTAGGATTAAATAGGTCCTAAGTAGGTCATTTTAGTGAACAATATGGAGCTCAATTTCACAAAATGCATGCTTAGATTATGGAAGATTGTCACCAATAAAGAATTTTCCTATTAGCTAAGCTCTTAAAAGTACATAAATATCTAAAGGAAGCACTAAAACAATCTCAGTTGTGGTAATTGCCTCCTATGACAGTGAGTTAGCATCACACATTAACACTTCATCAAGGGAGAATCCTTGTTGGATTCTTAGATAAATTAAGTTCTATGGGGAACACAAAAGGACACATCAGATGAATAATAATGAAAACAAATAGAAAAACAATCAACTCATAACAAGGTTATACCTTTGAGAAGCCTGAAGAGGAAAGCCTGATGAAGGAATTGAGCCCACATATCTTACCCTATCTCCTGTTTAAAAGCAGGATCACCGTTCATTTCTTAAATCAACAAGATGAAAATACAAAATTGAACATAGAATATGGCTAACCTTCTTTAAATGTGTAGGTCTTTGATGATGCTGTTGATGTCTCTTGCTTTGGAAGAGACTGGGAATTCAAAGTAGATGTTCCCACAATATCAGCCTCCACACTAGAAGCTGGCTTTCTCAGTTGTAGAGTATCAATCACTGCAGCACGATGCTTAGAAAAGATGGCTGATTTCTCCATCCTCACACTTTCTTTTAGTAATTCTGCATCCTTTAAAGACGACCCCTGCAATCGATTGTATTCAAGTTTCCAGGACTCATTAGTAACAAATTCATCTAATCGTCCTCTTGAGATAAAATAGGACTTCCATATGCCCCACTAAAGTTGTAGAGAAATTATGGGATTGTAAGAAGATGAACACACAAAAATCGGCAGTTCAATGTTTTTCGTTTTAATAAGAGATAAATCTTCATTAATCACCCATCAAGGGAGTGTCAAAAAAACCTGTATACAACAGAGAGGAAGCATCAGCTCCCCATGTAGTTGTTCTTTGAGCTAATCTACTATAGTTAGCAAGTTTGTGTGCAAAAACATTGCTTTGCCTAGGGATGAAACCAAAGCTTGTGACATTTACTGTGGAAGCTAGATTCCGAATGTCACTTACAGAAGATTGAGATGCCAAGGCAGTTCAATGTTTTCCATTTAAACTATATGCAATTTAATATAAATGTGTGGTATGCTGCAATATATATATATATACAAGGAAAACTTACAGTGGGCAGCAGGAGAGTATCTATTATGAGTAATCTAACACCAAAATGTTTGGCAAGGGCCTTTACCAAAGTTTCTTGATAGATTTCAGATCCTAAAGGATCAGATAAAAGAAACTTGTTAGACAAAAGATTGCAGAACCAGATCATTATTCACAAAAATTGAAAACTTGAACAATACCTGTTGGACCAGACAATAGAATCCGATGGTTTACAGATGAAATATCCATAGTATACTTTATGAACTCCTTACACTCCAGGTGAATAAATGCACAAGATATAAGAACATTTTTTGTGTTCTCACTGGATGCAGAGAAATGAAAAATAAAGAAAATTAGATCAGAAGATCTTGCAAACAAGCAAATTGAGACATTCAACTAAGTTTTTCTGCTTATATGTGCTTAATCATTTATCTAGGTGTCAATTATTATCTCCACGTAAAAGTAGGAAACAACCAAAGAGCAATTTTTGACTGGCAAAGACATCAGGTCATTCACATTAGCAAACAGTTAAAGAAAAATAATTTAGTAACACCTGGAGACCTCAACACATAAAACCTTAAATTCGTATGTCAATGCAGAACCACAAGAGTTTGTGTTTATGGATTTTAAGCTTCATGAAGTAGAAGAGACATTCTAATGCAACCAGACAAACAAGTACATATGACTTGAAAAATGGCATTCTTGGTTAGTATGAGATCACGTGTTCAAAGAGCCATCCAAAAGTGTAAGAGATCTCAAAGTTGAATCAGGAAAAGTGCAGCTTTTGCTTTCTACTTTTTGTAAAAGCATCTTAGAGAAAAGTGGCAAAGAGAAGGTAACTCAATGATAATCAGGGAACTGAAAAGGCACAACAAAAAAATGAGGATCAGGCTCAGCTACAAATCCAACCAGAGGAAAAAGAACATGTAATGAGTGAACACTATCCAATCATAAAATTAAGATGAAGCCCTTTCAAGTTGCAAATATCTCCTACCATGGATAATTGCATTGGTATGCCAGTATAAACAGGACCAATCAAGGACCACTATGTGCCTAGTATCCGAGACTTTGAACCATGTGTGACACTTTATTGGGTCTACTCGCTACCAAACTGTCACAGGCTTAGTTGGTTTTACCTAAGTTATGTGGCACCCTTGCATGTCCATCTGGAAAGCGTCAACTTCCTCGTAACACAAGGCCCCTAAGGATCGGGTCAGTGGAAGCGTTAACTCGGGATCCCACAAATAAAGATTTCAACAAACACTTAATAGGTAATGCAAAATAGAAAGGACTTTGCATGCTCTAAGCGGTCACGCAACAAAGGTCCAAGACAATCTGTCGTGCACAGAAGTCTCTATGAACAAATGTCCATATGACATTATTACAGTAACCATACGACGAACCAACCCAAGATGCTATCCCAAAACCCCATCAAGTCATGTGCCACCAAGGGCATTCTATGGGTGTGAGATGGTTAATGTTTTGAGGCCCACCTCCGCTCTTAGAAATTCGAATGGAGGCACCGTTTTTTGGCAGTTTTGCATCCAAAGTAGAAACAACCATAAAACCCAACCAAAATGGGGCTACCAAGTCTACTACAAACCCCTACATTCTGCCGAAGGTATTAACAAAACAAAAAAGCATGGGCATTATATCGAACACCTTCCCTACGAACTGTGACATTCTTCCCACTTATTCCTTCAACGTCTTTGTTGAAGCCTTAGCAAACATTGTATCTTCTCGCCTTTGTTCAATCTTCAATCCTTTGCTTTAATTGCAATGCACCTCGTGACCCCCAACTACTCTCTCAATAATGCTACTGAGAAGTCGAGCTTTGATCTGTTAACACTACTTTAACTCGCCAGTGACTCTGACTCTGGTATAAGACCAATCAAGTTGTACTAATCCTCGTTGGTACTTACTGATCCTTCAAATGAAGGAAAAGACCTTACTTGTTGCGTGTCATTCCCTCAAACATCTTGCGTCGATTGAACTGGATGGATACTTGTTGAAGCTTTAATGAGCATCACGTCATAGAATTTGAAGTTTTGAGGCCTTCCGTTGTAAAATTTGTCATTGATTCCTATTCTGCTTTGTCATCGCCTCTAAGCACGTCTGTATCTCCATCGCTTTCGAGGGACAAGCTACCTTTGGTAGTACCAATCACCATTGGTGATGACAAACAACTTTTGGTTGTCACTATCTCTTTGAAGGGCCTTTGAAAGTGTGCAGAGCTCCTTTACTAGATAATTACGAGAATTATAATACTTGGTTTTGGCTATTCTCTCAAAAGTTAAGAAGGTATATGTTATCTAACTTCGTCGGCCTCCTCGATGGTTGTTATTCATGCATCAAGCTATGTACTAGTCTTTACCTGCTCTTTGTTCATACTTTTGAAGCACTCGAAATGTTGCACTCCTTGTGCTGAGTTATCTACTACAATTCGCCTTCTCATTGCCATTGAACCTTGGGAATGCAGAAAGTATTTCTCAAAAAGAGCAATTTCACCTCGATTGGAGTAAAATTTCACCTCGGCTGGAGTAAGTATTATTGGTTTTGGTCGTCCCTGGCACTGTACCAACTTCATTGATTTCATCGCCTATTCCTCTGAGCAGAAAGGGTACAAAATTGCATGTTGCCTACTTAGTTCCTTGGTCGAGCACCACTACATCAACACAAAATCCCCCACTTTCGATTATCTTGATGAGAAGCCCTTCGACATTGATCTTACGAAGTTCCTTAACCACTATCCTTTTACCTTATCTTGGTACTTGGAGTTTGTCACTATATCCTCCCATCGACACAAAATCCTCCCCTCCGTCCTTCCTCCTCTTCTCATTGTTCTCCTTATCCTCCCATCTGTGCTCCCTCCTTTTCTTTAATCAAAGTGGTATACATATGTATTTCGTACCAAGAGTCAATACATCGCTCAGTACCAAAACCATACCCGTCCAATCATAAACCGATATCGGCACCAGACCAAGATTTAAAGCCTTGTAATCTGATCTACTTAGAGTACTTCTAGTTATAATATTTAACTTTGTTTGTGCGTTTCAGATGAGTATGACTACAGCACAAGTGATAAGGGACCATTTGGTCGATCGGCCATTGGTGCAGCCCATAGGCTCGCGAGGAATTGTCTGCTTTGGGCGATGGACGTATCCACACGGTTTTGTCCTTTCGGAACATGTGAGCTCTAAAAGGCGCCTCTGAGGGTAAGGGAGACCTAGCGGACTTATGAGCCCTTGGTTCTCATACTCCTCAACCAATGTGGGACTAAATGGCCTTATCAGTGCTCCCTCCCGTAGGGGAGCCAAGGGCTCATAACCAAGGTACACGGCTCGGGAGCGAGTTTGCTCGGCCGAGGTGCAAGCCTCGGGCCCTCCTTCTAGCGCCAATCTACTAAGGGACCATTTGGTCGGTCGACCATTGGTGCGGCCCGTAGGCTCGCAAGGAATTGTCTGCTTTGGGCGATGGGCGTATCCGCACAGTTTTGTCTTTTCGGAACATGTGAGCTCTAAAAGGCACCTTTGAGGGTAAGGGAGACCTGGCGGACTTATGAACACTTGGTTCCCATACTCCTCAACCAATGTGGGACTAAATGACCTTATCAATAAGCTAAAATTCAACACCTTTAGAGATCCTTACATATCCATCAGAATCTTAATGTTGCTCTTAGATATGGAAGCTTAAGATGCAACCAAATAATCCCTTCAGGTTCAATAACCAATTTAAATCAAAAGTTTCAGTTCTAGTATTTTCTGACTACCAAGTATGCTTTTAGGCTAACTTGCAAGGAATTCAATATGCCGTCGATCCTAAGGTCTTTAAACCAAAGTTTGCAATATCATCCAGTATTGTATGGGTGGTATTTACCAGTCCAATAGCCTAATGGCAAGCGGACTAGGGTAAACCGGACGATATACGCAATAGAGGGCATATACCACCCAATTCAAGATGGTATAGGTCTTGTACTGGGCATTTTTTTAATGTTTTTTCATATTCTTTTCAATCTTTTCGCAAAACTCAATACGAACAAGTGTATCAACACTCAGTACATAGGTACAGACTGGTATAATGTTGGTCCAAGCCTTGACTTGCATAGTATTGATACATGAAATTCTGAACCTGGCTTTGAACTATAAGTTTCTTCAAAAGTTTATTCATGTTCCAAATTCACTAATATACCAATAACATCAGCCAAAAGCATGAAAAAGAAAATCTTATTTGAATATCACTAGACCTTAAATTGCCTACTTTATTGCTTGCACATGTTTCAATCCTGTCAACCTACTTACTAGATTCTCCACTCTTCTCCAAATTTCCACCATATCATTTCCATATTTCTTTTAGCTGATCCTTATCGTTATCAACAGAAGTCATTTATAATATATTTTTCTTCATTTCAAGCTTTTCACCACATTTTTCCTTAATAAAATAATATTATAACAAAATACCAAAGTTACCAATATGCTTTGCAATGATATTGCTATAACAAAATATCCCTCCTACCCACTACCCACCCACCCCCCCCCCCCCCCAAATAGGCACAATGATAGGAAACACCTTTGTAAAGAAAATATACTAGACAGATCTAAAGCTAAAATAGGAAAAAGAGATACGAAGGTGACCATAATTAGGATAGCCATGGAATATAAAAAAGGTGCAACACTAAATATCTGCCTCTGGTAATCAGTAGCAGAACATGTGCAGCTTGATAGCTGGTCAAAAGAATATAAAAGATGAGCAATTTCACAAAAATTTCTCACCTTAAATAGTATGGAAACCTTTCAAATGAAACTTGGATATCACCTGAATCAAGTATTCCATGTTTCAAGCCATCTTTAAAGGCTTGGCATCTGGTAGTGGGCAAGGAAGCTGGTAAGTCTACATCCTTGAGGAGTTCCCTTTGATCCTCAATCACTTTAAATACATTGCCAGTCAAATCCATCTCAGAAGAAGGTGATCCTGCAAATGTTCTTATACCTGACCTTATTTCATAATTAATACTAGAATTTTTTCCGATGTCATCATCAAGATGAGCATGGGGACCAATATTATCGTGTTGAATGGTCTCATTTGCACCAAGATCAGAAGATGTGACAGCATCAGTATTATCACTTGGAACCACAGCTCCCCCATCATTTTCAAAAGTTTCCTTCAATATATCAGAACCCTTCTCAAGGTCTGGACTGCAGTCTTCTGATGCATCACAAACAGAAGCCAAAACAGGCTTTTCTAGGCCTTCCTGAGCATTCTCAGCATTAGATGCTGGTGGAATAGCAGACAGATCCTTCATATTATTAGATAGGGATGCCAATATTGACGCTCCAGCAACAGCTGAAGAATCTCCAGATCTGGTCTCAATTTGAATCTCTTTGGCAGAAAAACCCTTTAATTCTGAAATGTCAAGTGAAGACTGCAACATTGCTGTAGCTGATTTTTCATTCTTCAGTTGCTGATATATCTGCCAACAGATAAGGAATTGCCTTCCAAGAGAATTTAGAAAAAAGAAGAATTTGCAATTTGCATCTAGAATCAAGCAACAAGTTATAAAAGGATACATAAGCATGTTTCCCAGATGGACTAAATATCACCTCGTCCCCGGCAGTGATAACAATATTTGAATTTCTCTCAAAGGTCTTGCCATTTACTTGTACAAATCCTTTTCTTCCTACAACTTCAAGCAATGCACCTGATGCACCTCCACGCTGATGTGATAGTAATAATAAAAGTGACACTTCGTGCATAAGTCATTTCCAATGAACATTTCCATTCAAATAATCAATTTATCAATTCAATAATACATTTGCTAAGATCATACCTGGGTATGTCTCAGTCTACAAAGAGTTTTGCTGACAGATGGATCCTTCATGCACAAATTACAGCTCGGGCTTTGGCCAACAGAGAATCGAGAACCAGAGAGAAAAATATGAGGGTACTGGACAGAGCAAATCAACAGGAGTTAGATAACAGTCTAGAATGACCATATGTGTCAAGCAAGAAGGCAAGCAAACTGAACCTAACAGAAGAAAAGAGAGAAAGTTCCACCACCCACAGTCTTTCATCGATTGTTTAATAATGCATCTAAACACTCACACAGAAACTAGATGCTGTACAATGCCCGGAAGCTGTTCAAGTATACTCACCTCTAATATTCATGCAACATTATATATGGGTAATGAATAAGGGTGAAAATAAATTAAGTGCAGATGTCATATTATAAAATTATATCCAAATTTATTTGTGTTCAGCAAATACAAATTCAGATATGAATATTAGTTGGATACTAAATTTTTGAACCTTGTTTGTTTAAAACAAATAGAAATATAAATTGAATGGACAAAGATAAGTATTTGACTTGTAAGGCTGACATTAATTACAATATTGTGTGTGAATCAAGTATGTGACGAATAAAAAATAAGGTACAAGTCAGATCTATCAATAGGAAGATCTACAAATGCGATTTATAAAAGAATGACAAAATGAGAACATTGTATACTTAAAAACAATCAAATAACATGTTTCATTATGTTAATCTAGTATTTATCAAATATTCAAATAAAGGCTTCAAATACAAGTCAAACCGGTACATACTGACCAGCATTTACCAATCTGACCAAGGACCAATAGTAGAACATATAGCTCAAAACTAATGGGTTCGCATTTTTATTATTTTCAGTGATACAGGGTATTATAAATTATTCTACCATCCTATACACCAATGTCATACTAGTTTGACAAGGTGTTGAAACTGGTATTGGACCCAGATTTTACACCTTAGATAAAGCAGAGCCAAAAAACAGAAGTTCCTTTTGGCCTCCATAACAATAAGTCAAGGGCCGGCAAGATACCATAGTGCTAGTACAAGTGCAAGCAAGCACAAAAGCCACTTCTAACATCAGCACACGAGGTAAAATTATCCTCAAACCAGTGTATTACAACCCAAAGCATCTGGACAAAAGATACTTCTTTTCATCTAAGCTTTACGGGAACAAATATCTCAAACTTAATAAGAAATTAAACTCCATGGAACAATATGCCCTAGGCTTATTAAAAATTCTTAAAGACTACGAACGCAAATACCCAATTAAAGCCAAATAGTGAGATTATGAAAGTCAAAAGAACCAAGGCTAAGGTAGAGGATAAAAGTAAAAAGATGCAAATCTTTTACAACTGACAGCCCTTGAGCATAGATTCAATAAAAGTGCAAAAATATCCTAGAACTTATAGGCACAAACACACCCTATGAAAAAACCTCCAAAACACAACACAAAATGCTCTAAGTTTAGCCATTAGTAAATGCAAATAGATAGAGAGATTTTTACATACAAAGGATTTACAGGCAAAATAGACCAAGAGTAAGAGGCTAAGCCCGAAAAGGAATCTGAACCTCTATAAGAAAGTCCTTCAAAAACTCAGAACTAGGTCTATGTTTAGCTCCTTCAACATATAAATCAGATCTGGGTTCAACCATTTAAACAAAGGCGAAACAAATGTTTCCTACTCCACTTGACAAGCAACAAGTGGTACCTCTGTTGACCCAAAATCAGGCACTAGGTTTAGCCTCTAGATCTCTGCCAAGGTTTTTAAATCAATCCTCACCTTCCAAGGGCATTACAATAGGTTGTCTATTCAACTAGCTCAAGAACCAAATAGGTCATTCTATTTTATTAACAGGATCCATCTCCATGACCCTAAGCTAGGAAAACCATCATCAAGTCACTATCTGGAAAAATAAACTTTCTCATTTTTAAATCCTTTTGTTTTAATCAGCAAACAAGAAAAGATGAGTTTCCACTCCAATTAAATAAAAAAATGGTCTTCGAATTGTTAAACTAGAAAATATGAGTCCCAAACACCATTAACTAGATAGATAGACTCCTAAAACTATTATAAACAAAATGAGACTTTACTTGATACAACCAATTAAAAGAGCCTACCCCCCTGACTATTTATATATGATAACATGGAACATTTTTTTAGAGTACAACCAATTAAAAGAGCCTACCCCCCTGACTATTTATATTTGATAACATGGAACATTTTTTAGAGAGAATAAAGGACCTCCGAATCACCAAAATCGGTAAGGTATAACATCTACAACAACAATAAGTCATGATGTCCAACTATTTGGGTTTAGCTGCATAGATCTTCACCCACCATTGAGCTTTGTATACGGCAATGCCCCTCGTTAAGCTCTGAGCAATCAGATATCTTTCCACTGCATCTATTAGTTTCTATTTAGATCTTCTTAACCCTCCAGATACTACTCATTGTGATTGGCAAACCATCCACAAAGAAGATAGCAATACAAGATAGCACTGATGTGCCAACTGCCAACGGTGGCTCAGATTTCAAATGCTTAATTCAAAATCAGACAAGATAGATACATGTCCATGACCAAGGCATGGATAGAACCTATGAGAAAGAAATAAAGCCAAAGTTCATACTATTCAACTTGATCCTTTGGTCTCTATTTAACGCATAATCCTTTTCACAATCACTACAAGAAATCCTAATCTTGTTACTCAGGAGCCCCATCCAGCCCATAACAGGCTAGTTTTGCCCACACGGTGGCACGACGGATGAGCAGAGATGCCTAGATCATATGCTTATTAGCGGTTATGTCCACCATATGCAATATGTCCACACTCAAAAACCAAATAGGATAAAATGCTAGCAAGTATGTCGGAAAAATAGGTTTTTATTTGCTTTGAATTTGTCATAGTGCCACAAAGAGAAAGAAGGGACCTTGACCATATGAGAAATGCTTCGTACCATAACTTAAATCACAACAAGAGGCACCGAATCAAAAGGCAGCACACATCCAAAAGTGCACCATCACAGCCCTGTGCCCCTCTCACCCTCATGATGTTCCCCCACAGCCACGTTCGTGCCATGAAACCGTAAGCCGCAACATGAAGCGGCGTTCATATGAAGGACTAACCTTTTTAACGATTATATTCCAATGCATGTCATTACCTTTCAGATATCAGATGAAGCATACTATCAGCATCATGTCATGTTTCTTACTGGATATACCTCTCAAGCTTGTAAGAAGAGGGAGAGAAGATCAAACCAGAGCTAACAGCGAGTTAGCGGTTTGTTCCGATGACGCGATAGAAAAAAAAAAATAGATGATGAAATCTATCCAAAACATAAAGACTTGAAGACAGTAAATCCAACCTGAGAGTGCTGTGATATAAGCTTCGCCCATGCGGTCTTCTGCTTGGCTTTCACGACTCGCTTCGCTGGGACTTCCAATTTTCTCCTCTCCACCTTAACCGCTCGCTCTTCAATAGAAACAAAAAGAAAAGGGGGAAAACAATTTAAAAAAAAAAAAGGAAAAGAGATGAATGCAAGATCAAGATCAGACTTTGAGCGGGCAATTGGACCGGGGAGCCCTGCCCAGGCGCATCAACGGGCTTCTCATCCTGCACATCGGCATCACCGGCCTCCGCAGGGAGGTTGGCGGCTGGCTGATCGTCGGCTGCCGGCGTCTCTTCCTCCTTGGGGACAGGCCGCTGCCCCTTTGACGACGAGGTGGGCTCCTCCTGAAGGTAACCATGGATTTCCACGAGAAGTCGTGTCAAAACCACGCATCGGAAGAAAAGATGCGAGCCAAGATCCAAAATATAAAGCAGTGGAGGGGAGAAAGATCGCACCTTAGGCCGCTTCGAGGCCGGTTGACACGCAGAGGAGGAGGAAGACAGGAGGCGCTTCGAGGAGGCCGAGCTCCGCCTAGTCTCGACCATGGCTTCCTCTTTCGAGAGTCGAGAGTCGAGAGAGAGGAGAGGGAGAAGGGGAAAAGAAAGGTTGGGTCGCCCAAATAGCAGTTTGTGTTCTTGTAATTATTGCATAAAGAAATATGAATTGTAGGGTTTCACTTATCCCCTTCCAAGTAAAAAATTTTCCCTTGTTTTTTTTTCTGAAATGATTACTTGAGATCGAAGAAAATATATCTTTTTTTGTCTGTCTTTCTTATGGTACACTTTTAACTCGTGAATTTTAATATAAAAAATAAATTTAAACATATATAATAATAATAATAATAATAATAAATTGCTTTCTCACGAAAAGTTGAAAGGCCTCATTATGATGATATGATGAGAAGACAGCTTGATGTTGCCTCCATATAGATTCAATCCGAGTCATGATTCTTAATTCATATGAAACAAACAAGAAAAGAAAAACTATCTGATTACGATCATGATTCTTTTTCTATATCAAAAATAAGAAGATATATATCCTCAAAATTGTGGAGTATGTGATCCTTTTGATCGTGAAGACCGAGTGATGGTCCGTTGACTCCGACGAGACCATGACTTCACTCCAACACCACAGAATGTCGCACGTCTTCTTCTGCCAAATAAGAACACATGAAGGTTGACTTTTGTACTCGCTAATGAAAGGAAACGATGTAGGAAACATACATTTCGGTATATAAAGTTATCCGTCCAAAAATTTCTTTGCCGACCGCTCTCCCTCACAATTTTCCAAATGTTGTCACAATTTTATTGCGACCACAATATTTAGATAATTCTAGATAAATTTAACCCATTCTAGATGAAGACTTCTACAGTGATAAACGTGGACAATAAAAGATATATCCATCAAGAAATCTCGATTGGATTTAATCGTAATGACTTTTTCAAGCGATTTTTCTTTCGTCATTAATCGAACCCTCTCTTGTGTTAAAATCGATGGACTTCCCATGATCAAATACTTATCTCGTCGATGAAAAGGGTGGATGTGAATTTGTTCTCTCCTGCACACCAAGAAAACCTTAGACATTTGGTTTAGTTGGTCAATCTCTTCGTAGATCTTTATCGTTAGAGGTCTTTAAATCCTCTATAAATCGTTTTCTATTATGCTAGATTTAGTGAATAATTTTTGTTTTTGTTTTTGTTTGGAAGATGATGCTCTCAAGGTTTTAACATATGGCCCATGATTGATAGGGGGAAACCCTGCATCTATTTTATTTTTCTTAAAAACCTAATTTTCAAGAAAAATTATGAATTATTTGGATTCTAACTCCTTAATATTTCACTCTTTATTTGCAGTATTGGAACTTCAAATTTATTTTTATAATAGGATCATTAATCGATCAACCTTTGTGTCTTAACAAATCCTTAACTTTTGAGATGGATCATTTTATTCTACTATGTATTGAAATCGATCTTTCTAAACCCTTAAAATAGGATATCCGGATTCGAAAACGTAAAGAAGAATTTTTTTTATATTATTTCATATGAAAATCTTTCTTCTATTTGCTTTACCTGTTGAAAATTTTCCTATGAAAATCCTCCAACTATGGAACCAATATGTGTATAGTAATTACCTTTTATAATAGGATGGCTAAACGCCAAGTAATGTAAAAGTAGATGATGCGAACGATACTTAGTTTATAGTCTATGGATTCGAGTTCAGATAAAAATAATAATTCGATGATCAAAAATAAATATTTCTAAGCGATTATCACCGAAGAATATCACTAATAACTCACCTACGTGTCATTTTCATGTACAAATACCAAATTTTTTTATATAGATATCATCAGTCCCACAGTCTTAGCTATATTTTATTTCATTAATATGTCTTTTACTTTATTAGCTTTAATTTATGAATAAATCTATAATTATTAAATATATCACTATTTTTTATCATTAAATCTAAGTTCTAAGTTCTATGTGAAATATTTAATAAATAATTTATAAAAAAAATTATCTTTCATTAATCTCATTATCATTAACAAGTATTATTTGTTCTTCATCTTTAATGCATTTTACACTTTTTTTCGCTACATTTAGCATCATGGTACATATCTTTTTCATCATCTTTAATACATAATATATTATAAAAATTATCATAAGTTTTATATCTTATGACTGTTCTTTTACACTCTTTTTTAGATATTTTATATTTTATATTTTTTTCTTATTTTTTATAATTTTGTCAAACTTTAAAACATCATCTTTTAGTAAAAAATATACTAATATCTTTATGTTATACTTATATCTTTAGTCTCATCAAGAATCTCCTTATTAGACTCCTAATCTTATTAGCCATAGTAATCCAAATAATATTCATATTATTCTCAGTAGGTTCTAAGTCTTCTCACATTTCATCTAACTTTTAAAATTATTTACATTATTATTTTTAAAACTTCATCATCTAGCCTTAGTAATTTTTTTCTACTATTTTTTTCTTCCATTTTCTATAGTAAATATCTAATATTATCAACCTATATTGATTAATTAAACTTCGTATAACTTAACCATTCTTATAAATATATTTATCTACTTTTTTAGTGAGAAAAAAACATATTTGACTACAGATGTGCCAACTCTTATAAATAATCAAATGTTCATATATCTTCTTAAAATATATATATTTACAATTATAAGATTATACAAAATTATAAAATCTAAAATCACACCATCATCTTCATTTTTCTCCATAGACACCTCTTTATATTCACCGTATTTTTTTAAGATATGATGATTCAAATCTCCTATAATTATAAGTTTTTTAATTATAGATTTTTTTAAATAATATTGTCTAAGCATTCTCGAAATTTTCTTTTGGTTTGATCATTCAATCTAACTTAATGGTCATAAACACTAATTATATTTAAAATATCTTATTGTTTCATAAATTTTATAATTATATTTCTAACTCTAATTTTTTTACGGTATTATTCTTAAGATTCTTATCGATAACAATTCTTATACCATTTTTTATGTTTAACTTTTTCAGTATACTAAATTTTATTTTTCTTTCGATGATAGTGTTTACTGTTTTTAATCTCTTTACCGTAAGTATTCTTATATTCTAAGTTGCTAACCAACTCTTATTTTTAGACTAACTTTTTTATTCTTATTATTCCAAAATAATGAGAGAATCCCTAGTCACCTTTTAATCCATCATTTATAATTCAAGATATTTAGATGATAATGATATATATATATATATATATATATATTATTATGCAATATCTCACTCTTCCAAATATGACATATTTTCTCGGATCAATTACGAGAGCCATTGCTGCTTCCATGGTGGTGTTCCAACTATTAACTTGATGAGCTCAGGATGATGGCCTACATCACACCTGTCGATGACCAACTGATGATGAGCCATTGGTGCATCCATGGTCTTCCAACTTACTGTGATTTGCCGCAGACTGATAGGTAATTAATTACTTACTGTGCCAAGTTGTGGGGGTTCTCTCATCAGTAGGTAATAAATCCATGAGTAGACGTTTAAAAAACAATTAAAAATATTTTTAATTATTTAAAATCTTGTGTATATATATATAAATTAATTTTTCATTATGTTTTAATTTTAAAATTAAAATTAATTTTAAATAGGGTGTTTGAGTGGAAAAGGTGAGGATCTATATTTAGAAAATTATACACATCTTTTTTCATGGTTATAGTGTGACACCTTCATCAAATTACTTTGAGCTTATTCAAAAATATTATAACTAATAAAAATATTGGTTTCAAATAAAAGGTTTGATTTCGAAATAAAAAACACACTATAAACAGATTTGAATAGCTTTTTTATTATATCAATCATATAAAAACAGTTTTGGAAAGAAAAATTAGACTGTCGTATCATTTTAGGGTTATTATGAGATTTATAAAAACTCTTGGAAAATATCTTACTAATAAACCCATAGTCCTTAGTTTGTGCTGTCACAACTTGGGCCGGATTCAATTCACCCAAAACGATCCAATCTAATAATAAACCCATACTAATAACCCAATTTTCATAACATGTTGACTCCTAAGATCCTACGAATCCATAGCCGATGACACCCATGCTAGTGCTTACAATAGTTGACTGCTATCCATGCCACATTTACAAATCATACCACATTTACAAATTTATCAAAGAAATAAAACTGTAAATTAAATCATACCACATTTACAAATTTATCAAAGAAATAAAACTGTAAATTAAATCATACCACATTTACAAATTTATCAAAGAAATAAACTATATTACTCACCATTTCCACAATTTATATGCATAAAACAGAGACGCTTTGATAACTAAACAAACAGAGAAGACACTTTATTCAATGCCAAACAAAAACCAGATCGTCTCAAGTGTGCCAAAGCCATAAGTTCATACGTAGTCTCCATCACGACACCAAGCCGCCGACCAGAGCCCAGAAACAAAAGTACCTTCTCCAAGCATAGATGATAGATCAGTGTGCGGCAGTAGCGACATTGTCGCCGAAGACGCGTGCCATCCTCTCCGTGGGGACGAGGGGGAGGTAGGCGGAGACGGCGTAGCCCTTCTCGGCGGAGGAGGAGACGGCTTGGTTGTACTTCTCGGAGAGGTGGGCAGCGGTGGGGACGACGACCTGGGCCACCTGGGGAACCAGTGGGAGGCGGTTCAGAGAGCGCCAGGCCGAGGCCGCGGCCTGCTCCGCTGCCGGCTCGTACTTGGCATACAGCTCCTTGGCCGCCGGCTCGTACTTGGCGTAGACGGAGCGGACCAGGCCGGCGGCAGATCCGACCAGTCCGGCCCGCTGGACCTCGCCCGCCGCGGACCGGGCCGCCGACGAGGCCTCCTTCACTACCGATGGGACGCGACGATCCAGCTCCTGCACGGTAACTTCAACCTGTTTCACGTGACCACCGCCGATGATTAGAGAGAACGGTTAGTTGCTTTGATTTTACGCAAGAAATAGATGCGAAGGAAACTTTCGTCGGAGACCCCGAGCGAGGCTAACGTACGCCACCGGTCCCGGCTACGATGCGCCGGATGCCAGTGCTATTCTGCTCCACCATGGATGAACGAAGCGGCCGACGGAGCCTGGAGGGTCCGGTCCCATCCTGGGCACAGCCAGCGCCATGGAAGCCAGCGGGAAGAAGGAAACGGGTCCAATCCATGGCAACGTGAACGACATAAAGGAGAAGAAGAGGCTCCTGGAAGCCGCAAGAAAGGAGGAGGAGGAGAGAGAGAGAGAGAGAGAGGATCCAATCCTACGATGCGCAGGTCGCCCGTGCTATCCTGCGCCACCGAAGCGGACAACAGAGACCGGAGGGGTCATCCCGATACTGGGCTAACGTAGGCCGATGGAGAGAAAGGAAATCGATACAACCTATGGCAACGTCGTCGGGGGGACAAAGGAGAAGAAGAGGGACCTGGAAGCCGCAAAAGAAGAGAGAGAGAGGGCGTGGCCGGTGGAACGAACCTTTCGGTCGACGAACTTGAGGAGCTCGAAGGGGACGCCGTGGATCTTATCGTAGACGGGGCCGACGACGGTCTTCACGGTGCCCTCAACGGTCTGCACGCCGGGCCTCAGCGGCCCGGCGCTCTCCTTCGCGTATACGTACAGCCGCGCCGCGCACAGCACCGCGTGGATCGCCGCCGCGTGCACGAACTCAAGGTACCTTAGCCTCTCCTGCTCTATCGCTTCCTCCTGAGCCTTCCCCAAACACAAAACGCCGCAAACTTTCTCAATCGAAGACAAAAAGCAAATCCACAAGAAAAATCGAAATCGACACCGAGAGAGAAATCGGAAAGGGCGCTTACGATCTGAGGAGATTCGGTGACGGGATCGGCCATCCTTGGAACGATCGAATCTGAAAGAAGAACGCCGCGAGAAGAAAGAGAAGATTTCTGACCGAAGTAATTGGGGATGGAGAGGGCCGCTTCCGTGGTTCGTTAATATAGGGAGAGGAATTGTGCGGAGCGCGGATCGGACGGTGGGGAGGGCGCTCGATGACGCGTCGCGTCGCACCGTGTCGTGCGGCGTTTCGTTTCGTCGGGCCGTTGGCTACTTCGCGGAGAAGGCAGAGGCGTCCCCCTCCTGCCGAGTGCTGCGGACGGAACGCACGGAAAGTTGTATGCGGAAACGAAACCGTCGGTCCGCGGCTTCATCTTGCGGGCCACCCGAAGCATCTAGAGACTTCTGACATCAACTACTAATTCAAAACAATTTCCCACGTGGAAAAAAAAATATATGAGGTAATATATCAAGTGGGACTTTTTGGGTACATTGTCCTAATATATGTACCTTATTAGATTAAATGCTAGATAATACAACCCTGTATTTTTCTCAATCATTGGACATATAGAACTACAAAACATCGTCTTTATTTTTATGGAAAGATATTACGGTCGTCGATATATAATATACGTAGTAATACGGTATATTATGACGCTTCAAGCTTGTAAGAGATGCTGACGTGATATACTACTTCAAAATACGATTCCCTTCATAAAAAAAAGAATAATCTAATATATATATACCTTATTAGATTAAATGGTACTTAATATAACCTTGTCTCTTTCCTAAAAAATTATCATCGATATTATATATATATATATATATATATATATATA